TATTTGGTTCATGTTCATTAAGCAATTTTGTTAAGATTGGAAATTTGGATCAGTCTCATCATAGAATTTAATTAAAAGTGAACATTTGGTTTATGCTCATCTCTTGAATAACAACGCTTCGTTACCACGCATACTGGGCGGCATAAATACCGTTGCGAATGGCCGTGTAATCTCGTAGGCGATTCTTAGTAACGTTTTCTGACTCCCGTTGTTCCGATCTGAATCTATTTCGAAGTGGTCTATTACCGCTGGACTTCTCTCGAACCAGCGGGAAAAGAAGGAACGGAAAAATTAACCGGATTCTTGACGAGCTCAATTAGTGGAAACTTCTCCGAGTTTATGGGGAAAAATACCAGTCGTTCCTGATTCACGGTCGCCACGTGAAGTGCCATTCCGCGGACGATGCTTGTATCGCGTGGCGATGATTTCATAAACCAGCGATTGCACCTCATGCTCGATTAACGCTTGGAATATTTTTCAAAAAGAATTCGAAATTGCCAGGACGATAACGAACATAGATTCTTGAAATACTTATGGCAGGCATAATTATGTTATTATTTTTCAAAGAAGGTTGTCTTTTAATTTAGCGTAATTTAATATGTGTATAATTTCTTTTCTAAGCGCGTTCAACAATTTTGTGTGTTTTAAATTAGGCTTTGTTTGTAAACTTTCACTTTTGGAGTCTGACTCCTTTTTATGAATTAAGTATAATTATATATATGTGTAGAATTAAACCTCTCGAAAAAGGACGAAATAATGATTTCTTTCGTAAAAGTTAACACAAAATTCATGCAATAGAAGTTATATGTAAATTTTCCACATAATTAGAAGAAATATCGCAGGCCTTCCACGTCGAAATCTTGTAGCATTTATCGATTACTATAATCTACAATCGTTGCCTTCAAGAGTCTCCGCAAGTTTCCCTGTCGTCGACCTTTTCGCCACGATTTTCCGCGTCGAATCCCGAGAATTCGCGGTTGTTGCGTAACCGCGGTGCTCCACGTTGTTTGCTAAATAGCAAGCAACAACCAAAGTGCACGGAACGCGTGAATTGCGTAACGCAATTACGGACGAAGAGACGGCGGTTGGTTAACATCGGCGGTGCGCGTAAAGGCTCAGTTTCAAAAGTTCAACGAAAGTTGACGGGCGAACATTGGACACAGCGATGGAATTGGACTCTGTAATGTCCACCTAAATCCCAGTAAACAGATACTGACATTTAGTCAATACTTTTCTAAAATAAAAATTGTTGAAAATAGCTATGATTTTCATGCATCAAACATGGCTTCATCCCTTAACACTTAGCTTCCTAATGTGGTTTCACCCCTTAAGGTGTTACAATAGTAAGACCTCTTATGTCAATACTTTCCAATAAAACAAAATTGTTAAATATATCTATAATTTCCCTGCGTCCAGAATGACTTTCTTAACATTAGGCCTTCTAACTTTGTTTCGCCCTCTTAATATACCCATCGCTAGAAAACCATCGACATTGGCGGCACGAACGTTCCAGCAATGGTCGAAACGGGGCCCGAGGTGGTCCACTCGAGTGTCTTCGCGGCGTTATTTCCTTACGTAAGCGCTGCACAGTGCACAGGTCGTTGCTTCGTTCTGTATGTCACCGTATGGCGCGCACGGGAACACCAGTCCGACGGCATTCCATAGTGATTTGCGAACGTTTCGGTAAACGTTCGGCACACCCGTGGTCCGCGGGTGTTTACGTCTGCTCGTTGCAGAGGAGGAGAAAGAAACTTCGCCGCCTCGTGGCCGCGAGAAATTCCAAAAGAGGGACCGGACCGACCGAGTACGAGCAATATCGGTCGTGATTTCGGGGAACCGTGATCCGGGGATCGCTTCGTTTACGATTTTTCGACGACCAATCGCCTTCTTCACGTCCCCACACTCTCGCGGCTGTCTTTTACGCGACACGTGTCTTGTTCCTCGAATTCGGAGACCGCTTCGGTCGTTTTTAGGTGAAGGCCAATCGCGAGAATCCTCCGACGCGGAGATCGCGACGGGTCCTGATTGTAAATAAATGGTCCACGCTGCTTTCGGCTCGGATCGTTTTGTTTGAAATCTGAAGAATACTATTTAGAGTAAATATTGTTACTTTGGTTTATAAAGGGAGTTTTATATCATAAAACAATTCTAAAAATTTGTTTAGATCCTTTGAGATACGTTCACGTATCACTAAAGACAACAAACATAGTTAAATTTCCTCAAAATCCAAGATCCAGAAGTGTCCAGACGTGTCCAATTTCGCTTTGGAATGGCTCCGTTATGGAACCAATTTTTATTTGTCGACTAGTTCAATGAAATATAATGAAAATTTTGCAACATCTCATCTTATAGTTTCTTTATAAACGATTTATGAAAATATCTTTTTTTGACCTGGCATTAGTCCAGGTTAATCGTTTTATTATAACAATTATAACGATAAGAAATAGAAAGTAAATTACAACTTATACTGTTATTTATATAAACTACGATTTACATAATAGAGATTTCAAATTATGTACATATACGAAGTACAATTAGTTCCTAAAGGAACGATTTTTCGAATCTTCTAAGATTCAATCATTTCAATGTCTCGACTCTAATTGCTTCGATCCAAGATCGAGCCCAGTATCGATCGTTCTACAAGAGTCGAACATCTCTACTTTGGACGACTGTTCTTTACGCATTCGCGACGCAATAATAGGAATGAAAAGATTGGGATCGAGTTCCTTAGATTCTTCTCGAGTGATTAGGTTCACGATCCAGCTGGCGATCCATCCTACCAGGAACGTACTGACGGACCCGAGTGGACAATACCACATGTACGAAAGACGGTACAGGTAGAAGTATGATTCATCGTGGGTCTGCCTGTAACAGAAATCGTTCCCACTTATTGATTGCCTCTTGGAAAGCAATTATATTAAATTACGTGGGCAGAACGACTACGTTAAATACGAAACGTAATGCGATGTTAGTGACGATTGTTTGCGGAATTCCAATTATGAAAATCGATGGACAGCTGCGTCTGTGATGTGTGTATGAAAGGATAGCTTTGATAATTTACGTTTAAATCTGAATTTAAGAAGAAGGAATGAAAATGTTTTCGATAATAACAGGAAGAAATAATAGAGTGGCGATTAGAGATATAATTTATGATAAAGAATATAAATAGATAGATTAAACGATTTAATTAATGGTGATAATCATGGAATAATTATACAATAACTATTTTATAATTAATATAGTACTGTACTGAATAGTTTAACTGTAGACGTAGAAATAAAAAAATGAGAAAACGAAATAAAAACTAAGAAGAAACGAAGAGAACGATTACGATATACACATGGAGAGTAATATGCGTTAAATGAACCGTGGGAATTGTAAAATATTTACAAATATAAATAGATAAATTGTAACAGTTAATAATAATATTAACGATGGAATAAGATTCATGGCACGGTCATGAAATATCAAAATAATTCCTTACAGTGTGTCCAAATGCAAATTGGGAGGTTCTTTGTAATTGTAAAACGCAGTGGCGTTGCATTCGGACGTGGAGACATCCAATTTTGGAATCGGTGGTTTCGGTTGACCGAACCCGATCCACAGAGAAAAAATCAGACCAGCCAGAATACCAATAACTGCTCCTTTTTGATTGCCTGTCGTTGTGAACATTCCAAGGGAGAAGAGACCTAAAACAGGCCCACCGACCACTCCAAAGATCGTCAGCGCAGCTTGAAGGAGTCCGCCGAGATGCTGTCCTATGAACGCCAGAGCTATGCAAGCCAGGCCAACTATGACACCCAAAATCTTGCTAATGATGATCGATCCTTTCACGCTTATGTCTCTGTCACTGAAACAATTCCAATACTATTTAATTTGTTAAATAAACAGAATGTATTATGTAGGTTTGTCTTTTGCAACTAATTCGGTTACAAATATTTATATTCGTTTAGCAATGAATAAATATGTTGTTATCCGTACCACGGTATATAATTAATTGTAACAACATTGCTGGTATATAATAATTTTACATTCCAAGTATCGCAATCAGTCGAAGATTTCCACCGCTAGAACAAATATTCTTGATGGACTGCGATCAGGCACAATTATAGATTCATACTAGGAAGTTCACTGTATGACGTAATGTAAAAGGAAACGTTGGTCAAGTAACTAAAAAATCGAACTCGTAGCGCTCTTACATTAGCAACCCAATTAGCGGATATAAATTGCCAGCAATTACGATAAACGCTTAATCTGTATCTTTTTTTTTCTCTATGTCGGTATTCAACATAGTTACGATTAAGTGTTGCAGCTTGACAGTCGTTCTTCTATAGTATCGAGTACGGTCAAACTCGATTATAACGAGCACCGACATAAGGAATTTAATGTTTGTGTAATTTTTTTTTTTACAGGAGATAAAATATGTTATTAACATTAATTGTTCTCTTATGTTTACGTCATTGAAAAATTCATTGGTATTTCAGATGAACTTTGCGAGATTTAAATGCGATTGAAGGATGTTTACTGTTGTTCGTTAAGACCAATAAACATGTTAGTGTTTTGATCGGCAACGAGAATAAGACTGCATTACTTTAAAAGAAATATTATTGTGAACAAAGTAATATAGTGTATATTACCGAATACTAGTTCTATTTCTATTACATTGAACATTCCTGTACATTGAACCCCCGAAAGCCTTTCGCTTCTATCTCGCGAGTCTATAATTGACAAGGCGCGTCGTACAGTTCGGCGGATTCCGCAATTTTACGAGTCCTTACTTTTTCCGGCAAATGGGTTTGATAAAATCTTCGAGTATAACGGCAGCCATGGAATTCACCGTGGCGGAGATAGTGCTCAATCCAGCGCTGAAAATGCCTGCTATAAAGAGGCCGGGTACACCTGGATACCCGGAGAGCATGTCCATCACGTAAAGAGGCATTAATTGATCGCTCGAGTCGATCCTTCCGATTGCCAGGGGGTCGCAGTTCCGATATTTCGTGTATATCGCTAAACCGGAAAAGCAGAGGCCCAACGACATGAGGGACGACATTGGCCAGGACCACCAGATTGCCAGCTGGGCGCTTCTCACGTCTCTGAAACACGCGTTAGTGTACGATTTTCTGCGGGATTATTACATCCATGCTTGTTGATTAATCAAAAAGACACAGGTGGGGGTCGTGTAAATCGTATTCGTAATTAGTACCGATTCCAGAGTTGGAGGTTGTAAGTTGTCTCTTTCGGTGTAAGCAAACTTGTTTATCTGTGAGTGAGCTGCAATTATTATTTTAAGAGAACCAAATTAATAAGTAGTATTTCTTTAATAATTATATGCAATATGTACGTTCAATAATTATATATATTGAATATAATCATTGAATATATACATATTCGTAATTATATGCAATATATATAATCAATATCTATATTCAGTAATCGTATTCAATAATGATATGCAATTTTGAAATTATAAGCATCAGAAATTTGCCTTGAAATTTTGTTATATTAGACGTAGTTATTTCGTTATCTCTTCGCAACATTGACCAACATTTTATTATAGAATTTACACTTTATACATTGCACGTTATTTGAATAATCAATCTATTCATTCCTGAACTCCTTACTCCCTTCAATTATTAACTTTATTTGATTAATTCTTGAAAATCTGGTTTATGTAATATCAAATTGTGTAATATCAATATTTAATATCTTCATAGTTTATCATAGAACAGTTCCTGTCTTTAAAAGATTCTCTAGAAGTATCCGAACGTAAAGATGTACAGATATGCTCAATACGACTCGTCCCGTGTCTTTTTTTTTATTATTAAATCGAATCGCGCGCCGCCGGATGGTAACGATTTATCGGACGATCGCTACTGTCCGCATGCACGCGAGATGCGTGGCTTGGATAAAGTCGGAAGGAAATTCCTACGTTTTTCTATCGTCACGGTACGAAGAGCAGAATCGCGATGATACGCCCTGGGATCGATACAGAGGCAACTATGATGCGCTAGACTTCGCTTTTAGAACTGTCTGAGATGTTCAAATATTTCTATCCGAGGAAAACTGAAATACCGTGAGCTTTATTTAGAAGAATGGAAAACGCATAACTCGAGTATAACACCTATAACACATAATTAAATAAATGTATATATATATATGTATACCAGCTTTTGATTTGTTCATTTTTTACATTTATTTAATTCTTGCTTTAGCAGATGAAATCGGTAATTTTCCGACTTGTAGAGGTGGGATTTTGATAAAATTGAAATATTTTGTAGTTCACGGGAAATTAGGGGGAGTTTAAGTCATCATTTTGCTGACTTCAAATTTGTTCGAAAGGTACAGATCGTCAAAGGCCAAGATCATGAAATCAAGCTTTTCATATGAAAACACGAAGAATGAATTATCGTATATAGCATGCATATGAAAAATCGCGTGCAATGAATTCGTACAACGTTCCATTTTTACCATTATGTACGTAACAGAGACCTTTTGCGGCACCCATCTAAGCGTTTTACGGTCGAACTAGATCAGTGGAGCAGCGTGTATAGAAGTCGCTCTTGAACTCTGTGCGAGCTAAATGCTTCGAAGACACCCTGCGCGGCAAAGGATTACTCGCATAAACTCTCATAAGTATTTTAAAGTGGTGGTTTCATCGACCAAGAAATTATAGGGTTATAGAAATAAATTTTAATTTTCAAAAGTTCATGTCAGCTACTTTGAAAAAGGTCACGATGATAACTGCGTCGAACTTGGCAAAAATAAACAAGTATCACCTTTAATCATGGGAATACATGTTTAGCGTAACATGCGGTGTATAACTATAGCACCACTCATCTTATTACATGCTTCTGATTTTTAGTTGGTATGAAATAAAATAAATTGTATGAAATGAAGTAGATATATAGGTGGTGCTATAATTATGCTCCACAGTCTGTACCTGTGGAGAGTCTACCTGAAATATTATTGCAAATAACACGTTATTTTATTTTATAATTATTTGAAATAATTGCACGAAATAATTGTGGACGAACTCGAAGTAAGAGTTTTGCTCGAAGCAAATTACTATAAAGACTTCGTAAAATAAATTGTTCTTGTAACATATTATTTTAAGGATTACTTCTTTCCTCAGATTCGAAATATAAACATAACGAGACAATTCGTTACTTGAAATAGCTATTATTTCAAACGAATTGATATCATATTTATTTTCGAATGACTGTATCGAAAATGACAGTTCGAATAAAATTATTTCAAAAACTTATATTTCTTGTTTCCATTTCAATTAAAATATGGCCAGATCTGGCAGGGGAACGTAGAATCGGTTAGAAAGTCGTCGCGTACTCACTTGAGGGTTAACATTCTCTGAACTTGAACTTGGTTGCTGCCGTACAAGGAGAGGTAGGTGAAGAAACCGCCAAACATCAAGCTCCACCAGGTGTGTCGTACCGTTGGGTCCATTGAAATGCTGAATGAACGCACATATACACCATTGTCAGTATCGATACGCCTCGAATTCCTTCGGTGGAAATAAATGGTACGGGTGTATGCTCGAAGGATTATTCGAAAGTGTGCTGACCGCATCACGCCTCGCGCTTTTACGTTAACAATCAATTGCCGTGACGACGAGTTACTATGCTATGGCGACGAGAAACCCGATTTAAGAAGTCGCTGGCAGACTGTTGCGCGTGTTGCTTCGCATAACTGCGGTGTTTCATTCAGAAAGAATGTTTCGAGGTGATATTGCAACGGTATTATTTGTTTTGCAACTTTCGACAGTAATAAAAAATGATAATTGAATTTAAAGTAATAGGTATGGCCTCTGTTAGAAAGCAAAGTTACGATTATTCGGACAAGGTAAGCGTTTGTTTTCTTATGTAGATGCGAAGACTGGAGAATGTTAATTTTAGTCTTGCGATGGTGTGTATGAAGTCGTTTATTAAACGACGTTTCAACCATTTTATATAAAATTTATTTTCACGTATTAAGATATTGAATGGTAACTAAAATGGGGAAATGTAACTGGTTTTTCAGAAGGGCCTGCTGGATCTTGTTCTTTTTAATAACATACATATGGAATGGAATATATCCAATTTATACATTTTATATAATTCAGTTTTGTATATGTATGTATTAATTATAATATCTAATGGAAATATATTATAATTAAATAATGATATTAATATCATGATATAAATAAACAATATATAAAAATATATAATATTCTGAATGTCTTTCTCAAGAACATCATAGCATCATAATTTTGATTGCTCAAGTACATTAAAATTCTTTTTAATTAAGGATTCTGATTTAATAAAATTAAGAATTTTAAAAACGTTAGATGCATATAAAAATTAACTGTAGAAGATTAGTTATTCAATTCAAAGTTTTTAATCCGACAAATATTAATACATTGACTGGCGTATTTTGTTATTAAAAAACAATCCCAAAGCTCCTTTTGTCAAATTCGTTATAAACTTTTAAATGAAGGACTGTAAATACTAGGCTACATAAGAAATTAATCAAAGGTGAATAGTAAACAGGAACAGAAAATCCAAATTATGTTGGATTACAAGTAAATATAATTAATCGTAAAAGCTTAAGGAAAGTAATCGTAAAGAATTCAGAGTAAAGAGGATTACACACGTATAAAGTACCACGAGACTTCCGTTAATATATTACCACTCTCAAATATCAATAAAGGAGCAGTTCCCTTCCCCGAATAATCGTAAATATTAATTAACGTCTCAATGCTGGCAGGGCAATTAGCGAGCAGAGATAAAGCAGGATTTCGAGTACTGAAAAATGTAGAAGGTATCGGCGATCAAACCATAATTATTCAGAGAAGAGTGTAATTGGAAATAAATTTGCGGGTCGAATACTTTCAATTACTTTCCCGAGTAATTTATTAAAAATTTTATTTTTTCCCGATTCGAATAATAAAAAAAAAAGAAGGGCAACTAATCAATTGTTTGTTAAATTTGCAAATCACATGATCCTTTACAACAAAATAAATGAAAAGTGTGAACTGAAGTTACTCTTTAATGGTGTTGTAATTTGCAACGAAAGTTTAATATATTAGATTGTTCGGAAAGTTACTTTGTAACTTTATTTATAAAAAAAAAAATTATTCAATTTTTATTGAATTATACATTGACCATTTTTTACAAATGGACTTTGAAATTTTAACTGTCAAAATATATACTAATAATAACATTTAGAACAAAGTTAGCTGGTTAAAGATATCATTAATCACTCCAGTGGTAAAAACACGAAATTACTTTCCGAACCCAATAGTTTGGGTAATGAAAATCATATGAATGATTACTGTATTCGGGTGAAGTTGCGAAATACTTGAACGCGTTCTTGAGTGCTGTTAATTTACCGACTCCGTTAAGTAACACATTATTTAATATTTTTACGCGTCACCGAGAAACACTTTCAACAATTTGCTACTAGGCGAAGTAAGTGCGTCGTTACCACGTGGAAATGTATGAAATTGCTACAATAAGCGCTGTGTAATACGCATTCCATCAAATACGAGCGCCTTCATTAATGCGCGCGTACTCGACAGATTCTTGATGTCTTTGTCGAGAAGGAAGTCTTACGAGGATTATATATACATATATTGTTACTTATTTTATCGTAAATATATTACAATATATTTTACTATTTTATTTTAATAATTGAATGCAATTTTCACAGTACACATAATTCCATTGAAATTGTCAATTAAAAAAGTAAGTGTTTCTGTGTACCATACATGGCTCAAGACTTCAATACCAAATATTGCTCACGAATAAATTATCAGCACTCTTCTTTATGCAATCAGTTGTGTAAATTAAAATTTAGTCCTATTTATCGACTCTGAAATTAACTGAAAGTTCGAATTGGAAATGTGATGGACAGAGAGCATAAATTTTAAAAAGGCTGAAACGAGTTACACTCGCGATTATTTAAAACGATCGACGTATACTTGTCAAATTCGATCCTCGATCCCTGGTAAGCGATCTCCCAGATCTGATCGAGTCCACCGACATTCACGGCTGCTGTGAGGATCACCAAGATAACGGCTGTCAACATCAGCAGGCTCTGAAATACGTCCGTAATGATGACTGCCTTGATACCGCCGATCGTCGAATAAAACGTGCAGACCAATCCTATGCCGATTACGCTCGCGGTCCTCGAGATACCGGTGGTGGCTTCCAAGGCGAGCGCTGGAGCGTACAGCACCACTCCGCTGTACAATAACAGTTGGAGCTGAAACGCGAGGCTCGCCGCCAGCCTGGCAGCTGTGCCGAAACGTTTTTGCAAATACTGAAAGTACACCAAATTTGTTTCTTAATACACCCATAGCAATTTCAATTGGATGGTCTTGTTTGGTCGTGTTTAGGAAATTGTGAGAACCTTTCTTCATGTACAACGTGATCGATAAGGGGAATTTTTGAGATCTATGGTGATTAGTAAGCGAACATGACCTGTTGTAGGATAATAGCTGTATTTAAGAGCTATTTTGGTAGAATATTGCATTAAAGATTTGAGCAATTATTTGTATAGAATATTAGATTGGACCATAATAGTAAAATAAAAATATAATAGAAAATTATTAAGATAGAGTAAAATCATAATCTGCATGGACATGCTATCATTATTTATATGAAAATATAAATTGTGTATTGGAGGATAATATTTTAAAAGAAGTATAATATGAATTCTTATAGGACTGTTATTTTTAACTAGATTAGTATTAATTTTGTAGAATAATAGCCGTATTTGGGAGCTATTTTTATAAAATATTAGATTATACCATAACAGTAAAATCATAATATAATAGAAAATTATTAAAATATAGTACGGTCATAATCTGCATGGACATGCAATCATTATTTATATGAAAACATAAATTGTGTATCGGAGGATAATATTTTAAAAGAAGTAATACGAATACTAATAGATCTGTAATTATTAACAAAATTATCGAGTTGTCCAGAAAGTTCGTGCGAATTTTTGAGAAAAATTCAAAGGCACATTTGAATTCTATGTGTATTTATTGAATTAGTTAGGTACTATTTTGTTCCACAACCTCTCCACCTTTTCAAGGATGCATACATGTTATTCAAACTAAAATTATTTGGTAAAATATCGATGTATCAGCATGTAACCTGAAAATTACATGGGTTATAGAAGCTTAACTAATTCTTTCATAAATTTTACTGCCTGAATACGACTAATATTTTATGATTTCTTTATGTTCACCAGCCCTTACTATTTGACCACGGTTCCTTTCGTAAAAATTTTCTGGATCCTAGATTCCTCTCGCGAATTCCGTTCGTGGACTCACCTCGAAAGCGCTGGTCGTTCCAAGTTTAAAGAACACTGGCAGGTACAAGTGAGCGGCGAACGGAGTAGACAGCCCGTAGGCAATACTGATTATGGCGTACTGGGTACCATAAACGTAAGTTTCTGAACTCACTCCCAGCAAACTGACCGCGGATAGGTACGAAACCGTTAAACCTATCGCAATCGGCGTCACTCGCATGGATCTGTCCGCCACGAAATACTCCTGACGGGGACAACAACAAAATTACACGAGCATAACACAAGGCTACAATCGTTGAAAATTCAGTCATAGTTTCAGTCAATTTTTTTATTGTATTTCCCAGAAATTATAAATGAACGTTCTCTCTAGTTTCTTGAAGTCTGAGGCACATGATTTAAAAGATAGACAAAGCTAAAATTGCATAGAATTCAATTCCATTTCTTATTCAACTTCAAAATTTGAGTAAAACACAAAATAACACGTTGTTATTCTTATTTCAGAATAATTTATTTACTCGTTAATTTTTGATGAGAAAAAAAGATTTACTGTTCCATACAATTCGGCCATCTTAATCACAACAGTGTCAACGACGTACCGATACATTTTGGTTCGTATAAATTTCTATTTTCAATGATTTAACGTTGAAACAGTATTTTAGTATTTTATTTAAACTGTATCACTATGAGTAATTTAAACTTGTTGAGGGATTGAAATATGGATAATTATAATAGTTAAATACGAAAAACGCTCACCTCTGTCGACTTTTGTTTGCCGCCCGTGAGCCAATAATACACACCGATTCCCGAACTGACGAGCATCATCAAAACGATCACAACGTAATCGGCTACCATTAACGTAGCCATATTGTCCTATCGTGAGTTTGTCTTCGAACTAAATTCGACGGACGACGAACGCTCGGTCTCGTGACCCGACAGTTCACACTTTATTTATTTGACACAATCCATGGGCCAACAATTAAGTACATCCTGTGCCTTCGATCGGCGCTGCCTCGATCACTGTGTTTACGTAACAATCTCCAAAGACAGCTCCGCCATTTGTGCACGAAGAGCGTTCCACTTGCTTCTTATTTCTTCATCGAGAAGAAGCTTTAATTTATTTTAGACACTCTAGCTACTAGATTTGAGTCTTTTTATGGTATCTGTCAATTTCATAACTGTATTTGTAATATTAATTATAATTGCAATGTTTACAGGTAGTCCTGGTTTCGAATATTAGATTTGAACCATCTTCAGAATCTGTAAATTTTATAATTGTAATTATATTATGAAGTATATTAGGTCTATTTACAATTATAATATTCACAGATACTGTACGTTTCTACTTTTATATTGGTGCTATCATTAGGATCTGTCAATCTCAAAACTGAAATTACATCATCAAATGTCATTACGAAACTACTGATGTTTATGCAAATTAATATTTTCACAGATACTGATAAAAAATTATAAATTAAATGAAACTCAAACCTTCTAAACGGTGCAACATATATATCATTGTTGATATCTTACATATTTTTACATTTATTCATACTCTCATAGATTTACCCATATTCCTCTTTACCATAAATGCATAAGCATCTGCAGTCTTATAATCAATTATATTTACAATTATGATATTTGCAGACACCACGCATTTCGACTCTTAGATTCAAATCATTTTCGGTATCTGCAGCTACACTAATCTTAACTATACTCGATATAGTAATTATAACGTCTATAACTATCGAACCTGACTCGAATCTAAAAAGCAAAACGTGAAGCTTGTTTTCACAACCGTTAACATTTCTGATCTTTATTTTTTGTGTTTGTAAGTCTTTCCATAAACTTTCAATTACTTTGTTCAATTTTTAAAACAGTTCACGATCACGTAGGTAGATTCTCGACGTTTTAGTGGTCCGTACAGACTGAACCGAAACCACTTTTCTTTTTTAACACTTTCTCTTATCGATTCAATTGGCACGCCGCGCCGGTCCGAACGTTACTGACGTTAAGCCGTACCGGAACGGGTCCTTCGCCTTATCAATGTATGATCGTGCGCGGCTTGTTATCGTTGATCTAACGCGAGATCTGTATTCACGCATTTCTTATCGTGGTTGGCACTTGATACCGCTTAAATTTGTCGATATTTTTAACTGAACTTCTTTAGCATCGTTCGATAGCCTTTGTCCGTTCAAGAGACCAAATGCCTCCAGACATCTTTAAGTATCGTGGCAGAGATCAAGTGCAAATAGAAAGATATCAGTAATAACGCAGAGGGTTAACGTTATCGTTGATATTGCGTTTGAAGATAGTTTGGTAAATTATTATCATTTTTTTCCTTTCATTAAGAGATTATTTACATTGATAATGGAGGTTCGTTTGAAATTTTCACATTTATTTCTCGTTATTTTAAGAATGTCTTATGAAGAATTACAAATGAATTCAAATTATTTTTGAAATTATGACTTGTTAGTAATTATTAAATGATTAAATTACTCCTCGTGCAAGATATGCCAGATTGATTTCTTTATATTATATATGTAGAATATTTGTTGTTTAATGAAAACGTGTTCGAATGTACACGTGTACATGCGTTTTTATTAGAGATATATACGATTGCATTTAAGCTACAAGACGAAGATTAAAATAATAATGTATTTGTGCTTTTGAGCTATCAGTTTCAGAGAAATTATTTCAATTCTATTTTTGCATTGCAGAAGATTGAGATGAAGTTTGCACAATTTCGACTGTTAAATTGTAATTCCTACAACTATTCGAATTGCAGAAATGCTAGGCTCAAATTGTAATTAATAGATTCGTTCCAATATCGACTGTTACTTTACCCATATAAATATATACAGGGTGTCCCAAAAGTCGGGGAGGAGCCGGAAATGGGGGGTAGCTGAGACGATTCTGAACGACAATTTCCTTTGCAAAAATGTCGGATGGGGCTTCGTTAAGGAGATATTAAGAGAAAACCCCGACCAATCAGAGCGCGCGTAGACCGTTCGAGCGGCCGCGGTAGCGAAGGCTACGCGCTGGCGGCCGCGCTTGAACGCGAACAAGTGACTCGACGTGCATCGAAGAACATTGACGCTGCCGCCTAGCGCGTAGCCTTCGCTACCGCGGCCGCTCCAACGGTCTACGCGCGCTCTGATTGGTCGGGGTTTTCTCTTAATATCTCCTTAACGAAGCCCCATCCGACATTTTCGCAAAGGAAATTGTTGTTCAGAATCGTCTCAGCTACCACCCATTTCCGGCTCCTCCCCGACTTTTGAGACACCCCGAATATATAAATAAAGAAGAGTATAAAAACCTTCAACATTTCACAGATCACTTATAATTAATATCTCAATTGTAGAACGCTATTTGCATATAATTAAAATATACGATTGTTAGTATATTTATTCCAGTATCGACTTTAGCGAATATTCATCGCCTCGTAGAAGATGCAACAACGCAAGGACACGATCGTCTTCAATGTAAAGGCACAGTTACGCTATAAAGATTACAGTTATAAAGTATACTGCAAATATTAAGCCAAAGCCCATAGATATCGGATCTCGCATAGGTCTCGGCAGTCTTTACGGTACCCGCGACAACCATTTCCTGCGTGGTATCATATAATGCGTTGTTTGCACGACAAGCGCTTCTTACGGAGTCACGGCTTATGCACGTTCGCGGCTATACAAACCTACGCGTTGAACGTGCACGTACGCACTTCCGCGTTCCCGGTATCCTAGCCGTGAGCGCGGGAGTCTCTTACCGATATCGTCGAAATAAATTCCACGGTAACCTATGGGTATCTTTTCTTCTTCTTCTTGCCTCCACCGTCGCATTAGAATAGAGTGCACGGCATGCAAGAAAACGGAGAACGAGGGACACGAATGCGTCGCGCATTCTCGAAACCGTGCACCTACGTCTCGAATCGGCAAATAGATCTATCGATCCTGCCCACGGAATATCGTTGAGAGGCATTTTTAACAGCGGGAGAAACAGTTATCGGTACGCCCTTGGCAGGATTCGCTGAAACGATCGAAATGGACAATTTTTGTAATTAGGGGCTGGCTAAACGAAGCAAGACTAGGTTCTGCAATTATCTGAAATATTGGCAACATTTGCGATATTCAAGATTCAATCGAACACTCTTTAACCCATTCACTACCAGGCAAATTTAAAACGTTTTGATTTGGACGCCTAGATTTAATACAGATGCGTAATTTAGGTTATTTGCGATATTCAAGATTCAATCGAACACTCTTTAAACCATTCACTACCAGGCAAATTTAAAGCGTTATACTTTGAGCGCCTAGATTTAATACAAATGCGTAATTTAGGTTATTATATTGATAATAAGAAGCGAAGAATCTTCTTTTGCAGTAATTTGTAACTCAAAATGCTATAAACTTAACCTTTGGCCGAAATAGTACCGAATTTCGGACTTGAAATTAAATTCATTTTCAAAGTAAACAGTAATACACCGATAACATAGGAAGCATCGAAACATGAAATTATTTAAATCACTAATATATCTCTGCTTTAAAAGTAATCAAGATCAGCCCAGTGAAGTATAACACCGATACCAGAATACGACTTTGCCATTTACATTTGAAAAATAAAATCGTAAAGATAGACGAACGAGAGTCTCGTCCATAAAATTCATCTTTACGTAGCATGTATGTATTCGTGCAACCTGCTCCGAACAATATCTATTCATAGGTTCCGTGATTTGACCGCGAGCAATCGGACATCTCGATTCGAATATTCGCGAGAGGGTGTTTAATACCGCGTTTACAGGCGGTAATAGTAGCCGGTTCACGGGGTTAATTAGACCGATAATCGTGGATCGGTATAAGCGAGAGTAATTTCTATCTGTCGCGTCGTTTCGTACCTATATCGCTGCTAGGCAAACTTATTTGTTCGCATAAACAATTTACCTACACATTAGCGATTCCACGGGTTGGTGCCTGTTAGCGCCAGTTCCCTCGTCACGAGTCGGTCGTGTAACACATCGAAGGTGTGTAGAACGTGGCCGTTGCAGCCACGAGGCTAGACAATTACATAAACCGTGGACTATTGTTGCCCGAGTAACGGCTCGAATTAAATCAGACGTCAATGTTCCGATACTCAATCATCCTGATAGGTATCTAAAGTGTTTCGAACAGGAATCGCCCCGGAACGAAATGATCTTGTCACGTTGCGTTTATTCCGTTAATAAAATCTTCTTACGAGATTTTCTCTCTTAATTCCAGGTTCGAAGACGAAGGAACCTTTGAAATGAAGGAATATGCATGAACACTTTTAATGAAATTCTATTCATTCTCAATAATTTTTCATTCTCTAGCGATGATCTCTGATGCTTAGAGAGTTCCACTTTGAACGTCGAAACATTTTTTAAATGAAGGAATAAACAAGTAAATGTGAACAGTTAATAATTCTTAATAATTAATTCTCGATTCTTTAGCGATGATCTCTAATATTTTTTTTTTTCAATTATTTGTGCTTAGAGAGTTTTACTTCGAACATGGAGAAACATTTAAATTGAAAGAATAAACAAATAAATGTGAACATTTCTCTGAATAATTCTCAATAATTCTTAATTCCGTAGCAATGATCTCTGATGGCAGAGCTGAGTTACGATTACTCTGTGATTGTTTCGTGATTATTGTTGTTACGTTCTTTTCTTAACAATAGTTTGAATTTATACAGAAATTCTGTCGATGCCTTCTAGCTCAATTATAATTCTAAATAACAGATGGCAATAATTTAGGTATTCACAATTGTCGGATTACTCACTATTTCAGCAATCGAAGGGGTGAAAACTACAGTAAGTAAAGTTCTTTCGAAATAAATTGCGTGCCTCACAATGCAAATGCATTAAAAGAAACAGGTTTACCAAAAAGAAGACATCATTACGGCTTCTACACTCTTAATTATAAGTGTATGTAACATTATGTTGGATTATTATCGAACCAAGCCATGAATCGAGTACTTACGATCGAGAATCTTTACGTTAACGCAAGCCAGACCACGGAACAAATTACGATATGGCGAGCAATAGTCGAAGGCACGATCGATTCGGCATATATTCATTCCACGGAGTTGTTTTATTGGTCATGGACGAGGAGCGCCCGTGTGGCACGCTTCGCGCATTCGTTCGGGTCTCCCGGGACGTTTCGCGCAGATCTACCGCGCATCGCGCGGCTCCGGCATCAGTCGCCAACTCGTCGACCATCGAGGAACGACGATAATAAATTTTCCGTATCGAAACGTCGTTAAGGGGAAATCATTTTGCAATTAAGAACAGGTTGTGCCGCGGATCGAATCGATTACGATCTAATCATACACTCCTGTAATTTGCCGGCGGATTATTCATAAATCCATCGATTTATTCGTTAACCGCGAATACGCGCCGGAGAGGCATTCCAGCGCGGCTTAACGAGAATGCTAAACCGCAAGGGCAGGAGATCAGGGACTTTACTGGAATGCGCCGCATGCGAACCGCCGTATGCACGCATGATGCATTCGTTTTGCCGTGGGTGGAGGGACGCGTAGGTCGAATACGGTGCACTCCCAGGTGCATTTTAATTGAGCCACCACCTTGGTCGTTTTTCTCAATTTTTCTTATCCCCTGAAATGTTAGCCTCGAGTACAAAATTTATTGGAAGTAATCAAACATGTGAATAATAAACGAAGCCCGGGAATTAATGGTAGTTTATTTTCGAAGATGATAAATACAATTCCGAAAATATTATCAGTTTAGTTTTGAGGATAATAAACTCGAGAATTAATTGTTTAACTACTGGCCTATTTAGAAGTAGTTTACAACTAAGAATACGATTTTCTACATAAGTGTATATTAACTTAGTGTCGCTAGGTTTATCAAAAGTCCTATCTGTTTTATCAAATTGAGCTTTGTGAGTAGATAACCAACAACACAGTTGTCAATTAATCCGAGGAGGTGAATACTCCAATAAAAATGTCTATAAATAGACTTCTGGTTTATCCCT